TGTAGGCGACACCAATTGAGCGGAGTATTATTTTAGAGATTAAGGTCGAGGGCCGATAAAATCAACGATTTGTTACATCGCGACGCGATTAGCGGGCAGTCCAAAAAACGAGAGAGGCGGCAAATATGGCGAAGGAAAAGAAACAAAAAAAAAAAAAAAAAAAAAAAAAAAAAGACACGAGATAACCGTATACCGGTATAGCTAATCCGAATGAAACGAACGATACGATCGCGCGCAATTTACGTGCGCGCGATCGATCGAAATTGAATTTTCGCTCGCGCGCACTAATATACGGAACGACCGGCAATCGCGTGGCCGCGATTAAAAGACAAACGTTTTCGATTCGGCGACGATGCGCGCGCGTTATATATATATATATATATATATATTTTTGAGAATGCATCGTGCACGGGGAGCGGCGGCGGAGGGGGACCGACCGTAACGATTCATGCATCACAAATGCGGGGAACGAGAATAATCAAACGCGCGTTAGCCGCACGCTGTCGCGTCACGCCGCGCGCAATACAAATCCCGCGGGTGGATATGGCGGAGGGAATTACAATGCATATAATACGCGGCATTTGACTAGCTCCGCGTATAACTACGCTATTGTAAACCGACAAACATTTCGACGGCGCATACAAACGCGGCCTAGTTATCGGGATGTTATGTCGTTGTGCGGGCGCGCGTCTGGAAATATTGGCGCCATAAGTCGAGCCAATTATCACATTGTTGGCGAGCCACTTTGGTACGGGACTGGAAAATTTCCCACCCTCGCTACGATCATTCAGAATTTGTGTGAAAATGAAATAACAAACGTACGACAATTAGCGTGGTCGTGGTTGCGACAATCTTGAAGAGAGAGCGAAGACATTTCCCGTCAATTAATGTTGAACACAAAAACCTAATCGTCGAATAATTCATAAATAGCAATCAATGTTGAGATAATGATGATGATGAGCAATTTGTGAATAAATAATATACAATTGCTTCGCACACGTGTTATGAAAAAATTATTAAGAATGCCCAGTTAAAGTTGGCGAGTAATGGCGAACGAAACGAAGAGGAGTCGCATGCTTTTATCGTCGTCGTCGGATATCTCCGCCGAATGGTACTCGGCCTAATTGCATAAGTGGGCTTCCGAATATCGACCGGAGCGTTGCACGACACGGGGGCTAAAAGGGTAAAAGAAATAAACGCGAAGCGGGCAACGGACACGCGGGAGAAGAGCTTTCCACGCGAGAGAGCGAGAGAGGCCAAGAGGGAGACGGGTGAGAGAGAGAGAGAAAGAGAAAGAGAGAGAGAGAGAGAGAGAGAGAAAACGAGGCAGAGCCAGCGCAAACAGAGAGTCAGGCGGGGGCAGGAAGGAGAGAGGACACGGTAAAAAGAGGCAAGGCAAACCGGAAAAGACGTCGAACGACTCGAAGAAATTGCTCTTAACGATCTTCGATTTTCTCGTTAGGCGGAATCGTTCCTGGAAGCGCCCTACGCGGTGGCGTCGCTACGCCTCCTGCATTTACCGCCGCCGAACCGAGTCACCTATAGCGAGCCGCCTCCGCCAACTATCAGTTTTCTTTCTATCAGCAGCCACCCTTTTCCGTCTCTCTCTTTCTCTCTTTCTCTCTCTCTGTGTGTGTGTGTGTGTGTGTGTGTGTGTCGTTTCTTTCCTCTCTCGTTTCCATTTCTCCTTTCCCCGTCGCGCGACTTCTCGAATTATCCTCCGTCGACGCTTTAACCCAGTCACGGCTCTCAACTCGGTCACGGCGTCTCGTCAATCCCGGCCGAGAGAGGGAGAGAGATACGACGAGGACCTTTAATTCATTTTCACCGGACAAGAGCGAACTCGTCGAACTTAATATATCTTTCCGTAATTTCACCTTTTTGCATGTTTGATTAATTATCGCAATATTAAAAAGTAAAGTAGTTATTAACTCTCTTGTTACATTTTCATTACGCTCGAGTGATGATTTATGACTTGTCGCCATCAATTTATACAACCCCGACACAACGCGTCTCTCTTTCTCTTTCTCTCTCTCTTCAAACATAATATAACTCGATTAAAACGTTGATAATATTTTTCACGGCGCGAGATAACATTATTTTTTTTTCGAAACATGTTTTTACGCTCTTGTATGTTTTTTTTTTTTCAGGTCGCCCGTAAAAATAAAAAAAAGCGCGAAATCGAGAACTTAATGCGCTCGTTGAATATCGTTTAATTGTCGTGTTGTTTTTGTTTGTTTTTTTTTTCCTATCGACAACTGTATAAGTTAAACCGAAAGAAGATAACGCGCGGTGACTCGCGAGAACTTGCAAATGGGAAATATTTCATTCGCGATGGGGTGCGCGACCGCATATTAATTTACATAAATTTTTTTCCGCACAAAAAGTCACACAACCTTAGCGCGCATTCTTTTTATCGACTTTTTAACCTCGCTCGCTACTTGGCCTCTTCTCTTCCCGGCGCGCTCGCTTCCCGTGCACGGAAGCACCGGGAAGACCGAGAGTGTACGCGCGCGCGCGTAACTTCATTCTTTTCAGAAATAATACCAAAACGCAGTGCGACGGCGGACGCGCAGACAATAGACTCCCGACTACTGTGGGTTATGTCATATCGACGACTTGATATTGTATTTCTCTTTATATTTCCGGAATGAGTTGAATGGCGTTCCTTTCGAACCGTGTGCGGAGTGGAAATACCGCGCGCGCGCGCGCGCGCGCGATATTCGCTCGCTCGCTCGTTCGTTCACTCCCGGCGTAAAAGAGAGAGAGAGAGATTGAGGAGAAAAACACACGTAAAATAACTCTGGAAAACCGAGTATCGAGTGGTTAGACGATTTTCAGTAAGCTCAATAGGGCGCTCGAGTTATGTCATATGGATGACTGGTATTGTCTGCCTGTTTACGTTGTCTGAATAGCGGCCACATTGTTTCGCTTTGCGCGCGATGTATGTGACGGTCAAGTTGTCACACGTTCCCGTGATTTCCCGTATTTTCTGACGTAACGGAAATACACAACGCGAATACTCTCTCTTTCTCTCTCTCTCTCTCTCTTTTCTCTCTCTCCGGTCCAACAATCCTCTAGCTACTACGTCGAAAATGTTGCGGAGCATTTTATACGAGTCTCTCGTTGCGACAACAGAAAATGTTACACACATCGCGCAGCGTTCTCATCATCTGGTTACATTGTTTCTTTCGCATTTTTTGCGCGAAATAAATTTTTGCGTTCGGTTTGTAACGCGTTGCATGTACATCTGCTGGGACGGACAGCGCGCTCGAAATGGGATTTATAACGAGAAAGCGATGCGTAAAGAATGAGTGGCCGGACGAACGCGACGGGGGAATGAGAGCGGTCGCGTTTGCGAAAGTGTCTCGTTTGGAGAACGCGTTCGAAAGTTACATTTCACAGCCGAACTCCAAAGAAAACAAAACCGGGAGCTTATCGAGTTATCCCGTAAACGACGAGGGCGACGATGTCTATTTCAGAACGAACTTCACGCTCTTTCGTCCCGGAAAAAACAAAACAAATTATTTAATATCCGCATACATGTACTTGTTGCGGGCGAGAGAGAGAAAGAGAGAGAGAGAGAGAGAGAGAGAGAAATACAATCGCGAATAAAAAATTGCACAAACTCTCTTCTCGCGAATTACATTCTTTTCTTCCGTTTTGTAATAGAAACATTTTATATTTTTTATTTTTACGTGTATGTATTTATTTTACATTTATTAATTGCGAATTCTGCGCGCGCGCAAATTAAACATATAAAATCGCACACAGTTCCTTTTTTCTCTCTCACGAATTATATTCCCTTCCTCTTTCTCTCTCTCTCTCTTTTTTAAATAGAAACGATGTTATATATACACGTTCGAATTTTATACAATTGTTCCATTTTTAGTGAATTTAGTTAAATTGTGATTTGACAGACCGGTGCGCGCGAATAGAATTGATCTGTAATAAAAATAAATATCGTTATATATATATTTTCTCCCCTCGAAATTATTCCGTATTTAAAATATTATTCATTTTATTCGTCACTTAACAGCTCGACGCGGCGACGACGAGAAATCCACGGGGCAGACCCCGTATTTTTTTTCCGCACTGTGTATCTCCATTTCCGTCTGTCTGTCCGCGATTGAAATAATTGAACGCCACGATTAAACGTTACACCGTCAATCACGTTGAAGCCGCGATCTTCCTTCCGCAAGACGGAAACTCAATTGTCATCGCCAATACGAACGTGAGAAAAATTTATATATCTCTCACACCAGGCGGAAGCGCGAATTAATCACGTCGCGAATATGACGCGCGGCGCAATATAGCGACCGCGATAATTTTCTCTTCGCGAGCGATGGACGCGAACAGACGATTCCGCGTTTTGTTTCCGCGATAAAAAAAAAAAAAAACGTCGAGAGCAAATTGCCGGGTTCTCGATTATTTCGCTGACAGTCGCGTGTCAAAGTGAGAAGAAAATGATAAAACGCCTTCCCCGGCTTCTAAGCTTTTCATTCTTCTTTCGTGTTTCAGTTCAAGGTCTGGCCAGTCTGACGTCGCCCTCGCTGTGTCTGCTGATAGCCGCGCTGCTGCAACAACGATTTCTGCTGCCCGTGTAGATCCTTCCCCCTTGCTCTTCCTCTCACCCCTCTTCCCGCCCCCCCAACGTGACCAAGGCTCCGAGACGAGTCTAATACGTGGGGGAAAATACGGGGAGAAAACGAATCCGCACGTGGAGGAAAACGAGGAAGGCGACGAGAGAAGCGACGAGCGTTTCGTGACGAAAGACAATCATACCTTAATACGAAGCGAACTGCGACGACAAATCGGGGAGATGCGCGCTGGAATTTATCGGTCGTTGTCGCAAACATACACACATATATATATATATATATATATATACACACACACAAACACGTGCATTCTCTCTCGATTTTCACACGCCGCCGGTTCTGGTTTAGACCGAAAAGTTTTTCCGAACTGGACATTGCACCGATCTGCTCGCTCGTTGTCCCCCGAGGGCCGTCTCCCGCGTATCTTCTCGGCACGCACGTAATTCTAGATAGTCTAATTAATCGCGGAGAAAAAAATTATATATATATATATACACATGCGACAACCAAGTGGTTACCACACGAAGGTCTCGCACGTACAAGGAACTTTTTCGCCGACGCTCGTCGATTTCACTCGGGAATCGATGTGCGCGTCGTCGTCGTTATTTGTGGAATAGATGAGATTCAAATCTTCGGCCGCTCGCAGAGGTTCAAAACGACAGAGCCAAGTTTTTCGAAAACTTTTTGTCCCAACGCTACGAAATTGATTCTGTGTGTTTCCCGTCTCCTCTCTTTCCCCCCCCCTCCCCCCGCCACCGTTTGGTTGTGAAAAGAAAATGATATAAAATAAATCTCTCCAGATTCGATCTGTCAATACGGAATTAAAACATCGACTTTTTGATCTCTCCGCGAGAGTTCGAACTCCGTCAATATTTATCTTCCACATATCGTTCTGTTAATAGTTTGTAGAAGAAAGTAAGAGGTGCAGTCAATCGTGGATTAGAAATGAGATTTTCCGCTGAGAGAACGAGAGAGAGAGAGAGAGAGAGAAGGAGAAAGTAAGTACCTTATCAGAAATAACAGCGATCGAGAGTTTGAAGCTCGTATCGAGAGTGTAAAAAAGTTTGTAAAAAATACACTCCGCGGTGTAGACGCGAATTGGGTGAAGGTTTTTCATCTATTTTTGACGTTTGTGATATTTTTAATTGAAATAACATAACTATGCGGATTCTCCCTGTATTTACATACTTTTGCTTTTCATTCTCTCTCGTTTTCAAACACACAGCGTTCGAAGATAAAAATAATCTGAATAAAACCAAAGAAGAAACGCGCAGTATACGATATTTTAAGAAAAGGGCTTCTGAGTGCAAGATAAAATCTTTCACGTGTGAGATTGTGTGAATTTTTTACTTTTTTTCGAACTTTTTGTCGGAGAATCAAAGATTAAAATAGATCTGAAAGTCGACAGGTGGTTTATGTAATATTCAAAATTGAAAACTTTTTCACAATTCCGTTCAGACGTTTCAATTTCGATTGTCATTTCGATCTTAAATCAGAAGCTAGTTTTCTAATTAATTTTTTTTTGTAGAATATATAATTTTACTTGCGCGCGCGCACGATCCGTGAAAATTATGCAACCTCGTAGAAATCAGTTTTTATCGAGAGCGAGAGACGTCGAGGGACGTCTCAGGATTCAAGAACCCTCTCGATGCGATATCGTTGTCGATTGATAACAGGCGCGAGCACCTCGAGCGACGCCAATCGTTTGTCGATAATTGTACGCGCGGCGCGGCCGAGTGTAAATATATATACAATAACTTAGGTAGGCACGTTTTCGTCAAGCCCTCTCCCTTTTCCCCCTCTCCTCGTCGTAAGCTTTCTTCATTCTAATTATAAGTTTTAATTGGTACGTGTGATTAATGTAAGAGACCGGGAAGAAAGTCTCGAATATATATCTCTCCGATTGCGCGAACGCCACCGTCTGTTTCGTCATCTCTTTTTTTTTTTTTTGGAGGTACGTACGATAATGCAATGTCACAAAAAAAACTCGCTGAAGAGCGCAAAGAGAAAAAACATCTCGTTCATTGGCGCGGAAAAAATATCGCGACGAAATTCATTCACCCTCGTATCAAATACAAGTCGAAATGTCTGGAAAAAAAAAAGAAAAAAACTACGTACGTTCGAACACATTTTGTCTCGTTGCTCCAAAAGTTTGAGAAATTCATCGATTCTCACCCTTTGTGCTTTTCGATATTCACGGAATCGCTCGCGAGAAATTGCAACGGAACAACAAACGCAACGTGCGCGAATGATGTTTATTGTTTTTTTTTTTTTTTTTCATCGCGTGAAAAACGCACGCACACGCGACAGTTCAGCGAGCGATCGCGGAAAATATGATTCACGCGTGTAAGCCGATTAATTTGCAAAGTTCAACGTACACACAGCGCTCTCTGGATATTTATACAGGACTCCCCGCGGAAATGCGTTATTTTTTTTTTTTTTCTCTCGCCCGAGATTAATTGTTACACTTGCGTGTGCGCAACGACGTTTCTCTGCGTGTCGCGCCGATCGATAGATCGAAAGCGATTGATAGAGCGAAGTCGTCGCGTACCATTGGACGTAACGGAGAGCGGCGTATTCCGATCGCGCGGAAAAGCGTCGATTGTGCCTCTCTCTTTCTCTCTCGAGGAAAGTGCGAAATTAGAAAGTTAATTTTCACGATAATCTCAGACGAGAGATTATTATCTTCGTTGAAGCTTAATTAGACACTTTGGAGGGTGATTTGATAAAGTATTCGACTTAAGAATTTCCGAAGGTCGGTCTGCGTGTCGGATGATATTCGTCCCGCGCTCGATCGTGAATACGAGATCATCTCCCGGTAAAATCCGGTCGTAATCGCGTTCGTAAAACGCAAGAGCGACGTATAATAGAAATTCAATTCGCCGTTGTATAAAGTTTCCGTGTTAGTTATGCAAAATAGTTATTCGAAAGATTTCACACACAATGGGATCGGCGATTGCCGAAGCGTCATATGTTGCGCGCGCGCGGAAACGACGGCATTACGTTACGTACACGTTATTCCGTTTTGTTTCGGTCTCCGTTTCTGTGCATTTTTGCCGACAACACTGTTGCTACAAATACGAACGTTAAGCTCTTCTTCCCTTGCGCGTCTCAGAATCGATAACTTCCTCCCGAGTGCGGCGAGGTCCCGGCGATCCGTGGGATTGTTCGCGGGTGTACGCGCTTATACGAGGAGAGTCGCGAAAAAGTCGTAAAAAGGAATCGCGAATGTGTGCAACCGTTCGTTTATAGCAATTTCAGACCGCCGTAAATCGCCGCCGTCGTCGTCGTCGGAATGGGATGTGTGTGTGTGTGTGTGTGTGTTGCGCACGCGGTGTATCGGGCGAAATGTTGTTGAATCAAGCGGAACCGCGCGAGTTTTGGCTCTGAGATACAATTTCGCGAGAACGGAAAAAAAGAGAAGAAGAGAGGAGGTACGAATACGTGCGCTCTCTACATACGCGATTTCTGTGGCGAATTATTACGTGGCGCGCGCACGCGGCGAAAGTTCTCCCTATATGCGCGCGCGATCGAGGTGTCTCTTTGGCATGCAAAAGACCCGCCGCTAACTTTAAGGCGGGAGGTCGAAGTTTCGAACGCGCGAGTTTATCATTAATTCTCGCAACGTGCTGCGTCACGGGTTAAGAAGGTAACACGTCATCGCGACAGTATGAAGCTAATACACACGCCGTATTAATTACGTGTACGTATAATAGTACGTTATCAAATATTCATTTGCCTCGAATCTCTTTTTTCTTTCTTTTTTTTCTTTTCCTCCCTTTAACGCGATCCTTAATTACCATCAGAAGAATACGCGATTCGCGCGAATATGTGACGCGTACACACACGTTTGATTCTGTTCGAACAGAACAGAGAATCCCGACGTGGATTCAAAAAAAAAAAAAAAAAAAAGAAAGAGAACGTGGACTTTATTCTCTCAAATGTGTCCATTGTTGTGTCTATTGATTAAAAGTTTCGAAACAGAACGCCGGACCGTTCGAACGCGAGTCGAATTAATCTCGTCGATTATTCCGATTAAACTTGCGAATCGGGCAAATTTCACACAGTTATTATCACATTCATTACTTTAACTTTGGTGGATTTTTATGAGATATATTAACGCACGCGCGCACGCGCGCGCGCGCACACACACACACACACACACACACATCGACTGTTTTAATTAATTTAAAATATTTCATCGGTACAAAATTCCGCTGCAGATGTGGCAATGCATAAAATCTCGCATTACACGCGTCGTTAATTTCGAGTTCCCCGATTATCACACGCTTCGCCATATACATTTATATATATATATATATATGTGTATATATATATATACATATATCTATATATATATATATATATACACATATAGTTAATAACCTTCCGCCGCACGGTTGTAACCTCACTCGACGTACAAAACTTGTACATAGTCTGATACGTCTTTTCTGATCACGACAGGAGAGAAACGAACGCGAGGCACTTTACATTTACATATTCCGGAGCGAGCAGGCTTAGCTTTTCATTTGCTTTGAAGTGTCGTTGGGCGGCAGTATGTTTTGCGACTTATCGGGGACGTATCTCCGATATTTACGGCGGCGTCGGCCGCCGTAAGCAAGAAAATTGTATATACCCTGTATATACCTGTGCGCTGTGTAATGTATAATAATAAAGGATTATAACTCGAAGGGGCGGAAAAAAAAAAAAGGAAATTTTTCACCCCTCTTCCCTCCCCTCTTCCTCCCCCTTAACCGGGAAATCTCGTGCGTGATCAAATTGAGTCGTCGATTTCTCAACGCTGTCCTTTCGCTACGGAGGACAGAAGAGTTTAGCGCAAGTATTTATTATAGAGCTTTCTCTTCGTATATTGTGAGAAAGTGTGTTCAGACGGACTTTGGCGCGCGTCTTTCGCGCGCGAAACATCGTCGTATATCAACACGAGTGTGATAATAAGAGAAATGACACGCGCGCGACGCGCGTGTGTGTCTTTGCTCGCGAGGCGAGATGTGTAGTTATATATACAGTAATTAAGAGAACACGATGTATACTCGGTGTTAGCTTTCAGTTGTTTAACGAGCTTCTGGATATACAAATTATACACACACATACACACACACAGAGTAAAAACGCCGATGCGGAAATAAATATATATATATATATATACACATATATATATACACTATATGTACCTTTACACACCTGTGTTTTTTAATGTGAGTAATTTGCGCGATTTTCAACGCGCGCCGTTTTGCTCGAGAGACATCGAGAATCTTACGAGAAAAAAAAAAAAAAAAAGAAAACACAATTATGTTTTTATGTGTATGGCCTAATGTATATATTTCGCGAGTTTAGTAATAAATCATATTTCATTATACATTTTTTACAGTTTTTTTCCCCGATCCCCCACGTGTAAAAACTTTCTAAAAAACCACGCAAACTTTAACAAATATAACAAAATATATAACAAATAATCAAACTTGCGATATTAAAATATTAAAATTATTGATCATCGCCCAAGCGCTTGTGTACACACACGCGCGCGCGCGCGCGTGTGTAATAATACATTTTTCCGGTGGATTAAAAGCGTGATATAAAAGAATTAATTAATTGGTTAAAATATCTGTGCAAAATTAAAATATCTCTCTCTCATTCGAGCGGAAAAATCGTTAATTACGGCAATAACCGCATCGGTTCGCGCGTTACTCAAATTAGAGAGTCGCTAATTATTATTTCATCGATAAAACATATACATATATATATATATATATATACATGTATGTATATGACAGATGAGCCGACGCACATGTGCGCGCGAAACTAATATTATTTTCGCCTCTCGCTAACATCATTTCTCGACGAAATACACGAGTTCCGTCGAGATAGAAACAACTTGTATCCGCGAACGGTTTCGAAAACTGGCGAGAGCTCGATAGAGAACAAACGCGCCTGGAAACCGCGATCCTTCGTGTCCAAAGATAATAATAGACTAGTGGTCGAGAAAACAAGAGAGTGAGAGGAGAGGAGAGGAGAGGAGAATGCACAGGATAAGCCAGATAGAATTCGAAATCTCCGGCCGGTGTAAACGGTTGGTCGACCGGCCGTTTCCTTGGCTGATCGCAAACCGCCGGAAGACGATTAACGCTAACGACTCGCGCGAAACGTGAGGGAAGGAGAGACAGCGAGAGAGACACGATGCGAGAAAGAGAAAGAGGGGAACTGTGCAGCACGCCCCGAGATTTGAATATGTATCGGCGCATATTTTACCAAAGTGGAACGATGGGAGGGGAGAAAGGGCTATCGGAAAAGATTCGCGAAATCCGCGCGAGAGCCGAAATCCCGCAATCGAGCGAAAGCCGGCAGCGTCGCGCGGATGGATTACGCGGGTGCGCCGTGGCATCGTTAATACCCGGCAAAGCCGCTATAATTGTGATATCGTTGCGTTAATATGATATCGCGGTTTATCACATCGGTAGCGCACCGATATACTTTCTATATATATATATATATACGCGCGCCGCCCCTCTTTCCCACCGAAATAAGCATAAAATTAACTATCAACAAACAACAATTGCGCGCGTTAGCGGTGTGTTTATTTAACATTATCATCCGGCATCGACCTGCATATTGCGCTGAAACATCACGTTTTGTGTTTAGAGCAATACATTGTAGCCGCGGCCGCTTTCTCTCTTCGCATGTTTATTAATCACAGAGCGCGCGGAGATCTGATATATAGGCTATTAAAGCATATATTCGCCTCCTTCGCGCGCGTATCAGATATTCCGAACAATCCGTGCAATATTCGCGCGCAAACGTAATTTGCGTAAATTATCGCCGCCCGGTTGATTATCCACTACTTTGCGAATCGCGTTCAAGGAGGGAAAAGAACTGCGTTTTTCATGTATATATATATATATATATTATATCCGCGCGCACCGAGACGCGAGAACGACGAGAGAACTCGTCCGACGAAATTCACGAATCCACTCTCGCCCCTGGCCAGGAGGATGGACTGATTATTCCGCCTAATCGGTTCTTGGCATAATGGACCAAACAATTCCCGCGGCGCGCGTAATAAAGCAACTCCGGTGTGGATGAGCCGGCGCTCGTCCGAAAATCGATATCAGACGATGCGGACAGATACTATCTGCCGGCACGTATCCGATACAGACGTGGCTCGTGCCAGAAGCATCGATCGCGTTACCGGCACATGAATAAGCACCGCGAAAGGAGGGACCGTAACGAGCGCGCGACGGGTGACAGAAGGGGAACGGCAACCCGGTGCGAGAAGGACATAACCGGGATGACGAACAGCGCAAGGACGGGAGGGGAACGGGGGAGACGGAAACGAGGATCGGTCGCGCGCAAGACTCATCTCCACGTCCTCTTGATTTTTACAAACTCACTTTGATCCGGTTAGTATCGACACGGGGTGGACAAGCTTGATTTATAAGCGAGAGTGTGCGCGACACGTCACGAGTACATGTCTCGTAATGCACTTGACATCGCGACACGGGCGAAATCGGGCGACGGGCCGTGATGGAAAACGAGAGAGGACCCCCGGTCCTCGGATATATCTCCCGATGCTCCCTTTCGACCGCGTTTAACGACCGAACATATCACTTTTGCCTCGGTAACGCGTGATAATTAATTATGCTGCCAGCTGACACCTGCCCTGCTCTAATACGCCCCCCCGTCGCATCCTCCTCCCTCTCCGGTCGCCGTTTCCGCGCGGACGAGTATAGTCCGCTTTTTGTCCCTGCGCTGCGTTCGCAACATCGGGATCACATCTCCCGGCGAGGGACATAATCGCGAGCGAGCGTGCGCGCGCGCGAGCTCCGAGAGCGTTCCTTTTAATATCGAGCCAACCGCGATATTGTTCCCGCAGATATTCAAATGTCTGCGGGGAGGATTTTCATGAATAACCTCTCGAGAGATGTGACCTTGATGCTTTATTGGAATTATTCCGACACTGGATTGTCGGAACGAGAAAATCGGTATCATAATAAATTCGAGATTGATTGATCGGTTGCTCCGAATCGATAGAAGATACCCCCCAAACCCATCGCGGAGTGCCGTCGACCTCGCCGAGCGTGCAGTTGCCTACCCTCAAAGTGTGGTTTCCTGTCTCATTATCCGCTGATGAATTCGGGCAAGCCGGGGCGTTCGATTTCGCTTTTTCCGTATATTACCTTCTGTTTTTTTCCGACTTTGTCTTTTTTTTTTCTTTCTCTTGTTTTTTGAGCATTTTCGACGAAAGTTCTATGGAAAATTTTCGAGCGGCAATTACGCTCGAGAGGGAAGACTCGAGGATTATAACGAATTAACTCCCCTCCTCCGTGTAAATTCGCGCATCTGTCGCGGCCAATTTAAAAGTCACGTTTCCCCGACGAAATCCGCAATAAAACGGACGCGCGCGCGGATATTTAAACAGATTATTGCCAGAAGCTTTTTGCTCCCGCCGTTCCCGGCAAATGGACATAACGCTTTTTGATATAATACAGAAAAATAATATCTCGCGCGCGCGGAATGTTAAGTCACGCACCGGCGGATTTATCGAACAACATCGCTATGGATTTCTATTTCGTCGAAGCGAGTTTTCACGGCGTCCCGTATAAAGCGCGTGTGTTGTTGTTGTTCGCGGCTACGAGCATAAATGCGCTCTCTCTCTCTCTCTCTCTCTCTCTCTCTCTCTCTTTTTCTCTCTCCGATGTATCGAATATTTAAATCGATAAATAACAAGCGGATATGATTTTTTAAATTCCGCTGTCAGAATATAACTTTAAATTAAATTCCTGCTGCGCAAGACTCCGCGCAGATATTAATTATTGACTGCAATTTTACATTTTTCATCGGAAGTTGAAGATTCACTTTCAGTTTATCTCTCTTTAAAAATATATCGCTAATCTTCC